ATGGAGTTGTACTTCTTTTTATTTATATTGATGAGATATTGGTCAAGTTCGAATTTTCAACGATTTCACTCTTAACAATTTTTTATCTTTGATATTAGAGCAGTGTGATTTAACAATTTGATGTATTTGGGTTTTGATATTGATTTTAAAAAATTTTGTGGAATTACTCAGCATAAGTAACTGGAAGTAAATATATACATCATTGAATTCAAAGTAATAAAATTTCTTCAATACGTGAAAATTCATACTTTAGACACTAAAGACTGTTTTATCATTTCTGACATCTGCCAGTCTCATATTAATGAGATCTTGGAAAAGTTCGAATTTGACGATCTTTCGATGAACGTTTTTTTAGTTACTGGCTCTGACTTATGAAAAACGCTTCAAAATTTGTTTGTGAACACAATAAAAACTGCAGTTTTCATCCAATTGAAATGAAATTTAGTGTGATCAATTATAATGATGAGATCTTACACAAGTAAGAGGGTTGACGATCTTTTGATGAACATTTTTGAGTTATTGCCCCTTAAAAAAAACGCGTCAAAATTTGTTGACAATTGAGGTGACAGTTTATGTCAGAATCTTATTAAATAATGTGTGTTTGTTTAATTCAACAATATCTTGCACAAATTAGATTTTTGGTATGATTTGACACAGATAGGTGACTGCCCTTGATATACTGAAAATGTATCAGGAAAGTGGGCGTATCTTACTAGGCAACCACTTGTATATTTTACATGTTATTTTTCAGGTATCAAAGACTGTATCCAAAGCGGAAGAATACATGTGCTGTTCCTGTGAGAGAATCAAAATTATATTCATACATTCCGTTTATGCTGCAATATATCTTAAAGAGTTTGGAAGAAGTGACAGGGCCTATTCCCACTTCAGACTGGTGATCCACGACTTATCAAGAGGTACATTGCCAGCGTTGAACCAGCAGCTATAAAAGCTTTGGTTGAGAAGAAGAAAACAAGATTTGCTTAAAAATTACTTTTTGCTTCAGATTACTTCTAATAATATTCAACAATACAACATGGTAAAATTTTGTCATTATCAGACAAAGCATTAAACAAAAATTCTGAACGTCTTACTGGGAACGACCTAAAACAAATCATGTATATCTGCCAGTAGCACCGCAAAATGTTCTGTGAATTGTAAAGTGTAAAATTTCTATACTGTGAACCTCATTGTTTCATTGTTGGTGTACATCTCTAAAATAGCCATCTCCAATAGCAAGGCCTTGTTGATCCATAAATGTCGTGTCCATTTCCTGAAAATAAAAAATCATCCGTATTTTGTACATATTTTGTAAGTGATTAGTTTATTTTATGTATTGATAAATATTGTTTAAATCAAAAGATAAAGCTCAGGTTCCTATTGTAGACATTGTTTTAATATAGTGTAGTTTTCATTCAGAAATCTGATTTGGCGGTGGAAAAAATGGTTCAGTTTTTCAACTGACCCTATTCCGAACCCAGCGACTCAAAAAATGTTATGGAGTGTTTGATTATTTTTTTTTTTTCAATATTTGAATAGAATACGTTATATTACAACAAAACACTGACTGCCAAAACATCAAATGAGTGAGTGAATTGAATACAAACTTTCTATTTCAAAGATTACTGAAGTCCGGCGCACACACAAGCCATCAGCTCAAGCAGAATTCATTTGTGCACTTCTCCTCCACTTGTAAGGCGATAGCTTCTATGTGCGGGTAAATTTATGTAAGATTTTGGTCATTCGTGATGAAAAGATGAAAGGCATTCAAGGGAAGCCTTCTTCTTACAAGAGTTACACGTCGAAGATCCCGAGAAATTTCGTCAATATCGCCTAGACAGACAGTCACTCTGACTGTCTTTTAAAGATGTTTGGGCAATGGTCGACCCTCTCAATTACAACCAAGAGAATAGAATGCGCCCTTTAATAGGCCGTACTGAAAGGCTGACTTCATCTTCTGAAGACTAAGAAGTACAGTGGTGTAACCTATATTCGTGGAAATATGGATTCAACACCGAATTTCGTCAAAGTTAAAAAAACGAATATTTTTTTTATGTCTTAGATGTTTCCTCAGATATTCTACAAAATAATTAAAATTGGTTTATTTCAATTTTCTTTATGAATCCTTCACTTTGACCCATATTTCATGAGCAACCAACCACTTTGTGTTCCATAGAAATTTTCTGTTGACACGGAATCCGCTAGTTGATCGCGTGACTTCATTCAATGGATTACATTCTAGCAGACGACACTTGGAATTTCGATTACCGCTTGGGATTATAAGGAAATTCGGCCAATAAAAAATGGTGACGTTTGGTAATAAGTGAAATCTGCCATTTTGTATTTGTCAAAGTATACATTAATACATTTTACCTTGCTTGAAACTACTGAATTCATTCTACTAGCTGATATTGTAGAGAAAACCCATGTTTATCAAAACAAGCAAATGCGGAGGTCACACGAGGTTTCAATTTTTCGACACGAACGACCAAAATCTTACATTAGAATCTATCGCCTTAAGGAGAAGTGCACGAATGAATCGTGTGTGCGCCGGACTTATTCCTTCAATAATCAGTTCCTGAGAATGTGCTATAAATAGCTGGTACTTCACCATCAGTCCAGAAACAACAAAACATACACCCTTTTATGCCTAAGATGAACAAGACTACGCCCGACCATTTGGTTGAGATTAATAAATAATATAATATGTCTCGATCAATCAAGACCTGCATCAGCTACTACCAGCTACATAAATGCTTCCGGTAAAAGTCCTGTACAATAGAGACTACTTTATCCTTGTCCCCTCAGACATTTGCAACTGCAAATTAACGAATAAATGGAATTATGTACTAAAAAACTAAATTGAATGAATTCTATATAACCAAGATTTAGAATGAAAATTGGTAAATCTGATGTTTATATTTTTATACGCCCACATGGAAATGTGGACGTATATTGCCGTTGGTCCGTCAACATTTGTTGTGAACACAATAGAAACTACAGTTTTCAACTGATTTGAATGAAATTTGGTGTGATCATTTATATTCATGAGATCTTGATCAAGTTCAAATTTGATGATCTTTTGATTAATGGTTTTTGATTTATTGCCCTTGACTTAAGAAAAACGCATCAAAATTTGTTAGTGAACACAATAGAGACTACAGTTTTCAACTGATTTGAATAAAACATGGTTTGATCTTGTATATTGATGAGATAATTTGATGTGTTTGGGTTAGTAATATTGATTTTCATTGCCGTCACCCATGTCGGTCCGTCTGTCCGTCCGCAATTGCTTGTAAACACTCTACAAGGCACAATTCTTGACTGATTTTGACGAAACTTGGTATGATTGTTTGTAATCACCCAGGGATAAACCCTATCGAAAATCAGAAAAATTGAAAAATATTTAGTATGAGTTATTGCCCTTGTTCTTGAAAACGCATTCAATTTTTGCTTGTAAACATTCTAGAAGGCACAAATCTTTATGGATTTTGACAAAACTTGGTGTGAGTGTTTGTAATCACCCAAGGATAAACCCTGTTGAAAATCAGAAGAATCAAAAAATATTTACTATGAGTTATTGCCCTTGTTCTTGAAAACTCGTTTAATTTGTAAAAACTCTATAAGTCATGATTCTTCCCAGATATTGACAAAACTTGGTTAAATTATTCATTACCGCACTGAAGATTGAATATTTGTCTTCTAGAGTTTTCACGAGCTAAAAATTGAACACGTTTTCAAGAACTAGGGCAATAACTCATACTCAATATTATTCAGTATCACCCTAAAGAGTTCAAAAAAAGTGTATGACTGAAGGTTGAATATTTCATACTGGTGATTGTTACTGTACTGCTAAATATCTTTATCAAAATCAAAGCTGCCAGTGGGCATATATAACCTTGCCTGGCACGCTATCATTTCTGATAGCTGCCAGTGGGCGTATGTTACCTAGCCTGGCAAGCTATTTTTATACGCCCATCTTTCGATATTGTAATCATCCTGTCGGTCCGTCTGTCCGTTCACATTTGGCTCGTGCTCACTCTACAGGCTACAATTCTTTACGGATTCTTTTGATTTTTATTTTGTATGTCAATGTTGTTATGAAGATGATCCCTATCGATTTTCGTGATGATCGGATAATTTTTCTCGGAAATATCCTGTCTGACTTGAAATTTTACTCTATTAGCTATATTGTGCAACTTGTGCTCACTCTACAAGCTACAATTTACATTCTTAGATTCTTTTGATTTTGTGTGTCAATGTCATTATGAAGATCGTAAATATATCGAATTTCATAATACTTACAATCAAAGCTATCTGTGGGCGTATGTTACCTTGCCTGGCAAGCTATATTTTGTATATTGATAAACCTTGTGTCATTAGCTAGTGGTACTTTTTATACGCCCTCATGAAATGGGGGGCGTATATTGCCGTCCATCCGTCCGTCAATTGCTCGTAAACACTCTACAAGACACAATTCTTGACGGATTTTGACAAAACTTGGTTCACCCAAGGATGAACCCTATTGAAAATCAGAAGAATCGAAAAATATTTAGTTAAAGTTATTGCCCTTGTTCTTGAAAATGCTTTCAATTTTTAGCTGGTAAACACTATTGAAGGTACAATTCTAGACGGATTTTGACGAAACTTGGCATGAGTGTTTGTTATCACCCAAGAATAAATTCTAATAAAAATCAGAAAAATTGAAAAATATTTAGTATGAGTTATTGCCCTTGTTCTTGAAAACACGTTCAATTTTTAGCCTGTAAACACTCCAGAAGGCACAGTTCTTGATGGATTTTGATGAAACTTGGTAATATTATTCAGTATCTCCTCAAAAAGTTCAAAAGAAGTGTATGTCTGAAGGTTGAATATTTCATACTGGTAATTGTTACTGTCCTGCCAAATGTTTAAAATGCTTTAAAATCAAAGCTGCCAGTGGGCGTATATTACCTTGCCTGGCAAGCATTCTGTAAACTTTAATTTGAAATAAGTAAATATCAATTCTGTAACCATTGTTTGCTGCCTTCTAGCTTCTTACAGCTATGCGATGGTGGTCCTCTGCCTCTGGTAACTTTTCCTCTTGAAGAGCTTCTTCCCCTAGAACCACTAACAATGCCTTGATCTTCCCCGTACTGTTTTACATTGATGCATGTCTGAAAAAAATATGATTATAATTTGTGAAGAAATTATGAAGACAAGATCTAAGGGTAGGATAAAAATATTTTGTTGTGTACAATGGATATACTTATTGTAGGCTTCAAGAATTTTAACAAGAATGGAAGTGTCAGAATTGATGGATGCTCTACCTCAATCAGCTGGTCCTATGTATCATGTAGAAATATGTCAAACTCCCTGCAGGTAGGTCATAATATTTGGTGATTTATGAGATAAGTGTACTGCTACCTGATGTATATAAGAGCATGGATCAAACTTATGTACACTTAATGTCATGAAATATAAATCATGGGTAAAGACCTTGGAGAATAGATTAACTGGAGACGGCATGACGTCATTTGCCATATACGTCAAAATATATATATATTTACGTATATTGCTGTATATTAATTTGCACTACTGACATGAATCAATGAATAATTGGATTAAATAATTAATTAAAATAACCTAGTTTTAAAACATTTATACAACAGGAGAACAAACTGTTTTCTCTAAATAAATAAGATAGCTTGCCAGGCAAGGTAATATACGCCCACTGGCAGCTTTGATTTTGAACATAAATATTTAGCAGTACAGTAACAATTACCAGTATGAAATATTCAACCTTCAGTCATACACTTCTTTTGAACTCTTTAGGGCGATACTGAATAATATTGAGTATAAGTTATTGCCCTAGTTCTTGAATACATGTTCAACCTTTAGCAAGTGAAAACTCAAGAAGACAAATATTCAGTCTTCAGCCGGTAAGGAATAATAAAACCAAGTTTTGTCAAAATCCAGCAAGAATTATGCCTTCTAGAGTTTTTATGAGCTACAAATTGAACGAGTTTTCAAGATCAAGGGCAATAACTCATACTCAATATTTTTAGATTCTTCTGTTTTTCAATAGGGTTCATCCTTAAGTGGTAACCAACACTCATTCAAAATTTCGTTAAAATCCGTCAAGACTTGTCCCTTCTAGAGTGTTTACAAGCTAAAATTTGAACGCGTTTTCAAGAACAAGGGCAATAACTCATACTAAATATTTTTCAATTTTTCTGTTTTTCAATACGGTTTATCCATGGGTGATAACCATAGAGTTATATATAGAAACTAGAGTCCACACTTATCACGTGTCTGTACCGTTTGTTTACAATGGACGATCTTCGATAGACAAACTTATTTCATGTCTATTTCTCTTAGATAAAATGAAAAAAAAACAAGTTTCATTTCATTATTTCGGAGAATAAAGCTTTTTTCTTTCTATATTAAAGAGGTTATAAAGCTAGGCTTTTATTAATTCAATAGATGAATGATTTAAAACGCACAATAAGTTAGATGGCTATTGCCTCTGTAGCATGAAAATACTTGATTCCTGTCACTGTATATTCGTCCATGGTGATGTAATACTGTTTTATCAAATAGAGATGTTATTTTCTTAATGAGTTGAGCAAAGTGGTCATTTTCCATAAAGTCACAATCAAGGAAATGTTCAGTTAATTCCTTGAAAATAGAACCTCTGAGTTCAATAATAACTTTAGAACAAATTTTCTCTATAAAGTTTTTATCTGTGTGAAGTGGATTTACTAATGCTAGCAATTCTGATCTCATTATCTTGTCAGCAGTTTTCACAACCTTGAAAATATCATCGGTAGCATATACTAGTCCCCCACGATCCTTTCGAGCAGTAAGTGAATCGAAATTGGCTATCGAATAAATGTCTACTTTAGATTGAAGCAGGACACAGCAAAGTAAACGAATATAACCTGACATGTAATATAAAACATGGTCCTGGAATTCTGATGGATCCGACAATAACTTTGCAAATTTGGTCATTTGGTTACGTGTGTGATGTACTGAGCTCGGAGTCGTCTCTGAAAATAATATCTCTGTAGGTTCTTCGATTGCAACATTTGCGTTCTTGGAAGGCATGATAGCATTTTTCATCAAAATCGCCCTTAATGACCATTTTAACTGTAGACAGTTTGGATTATTGTTCCAGCCACCTCTTCTCCGAATGCGACTGAAGAAAATCTCTAAATGATCTTGCGATAATTTGTTGGTCAAAAAGTATCTAAATGGGACTTCCATTGTAAGCAATTGCTCGACGATATCCAGTACAGAATCGATACTTAGCATGAATCCTACATAAGCTGTTTTACGTCGATCTGTACATAAGGTATTGCCGTCCTTGTATTTTAAATCAAAAAGGTCTTTATTTTCATTAATTGATTTCTTCAGAATTGAAAATTGTGTAGATTTATAGGTTGCTTATAACCCTTTCCACATGGAGATTTAGAATTTAAAAAATCTAACAGCATATCCATTTTTCTAATAAAATCCGTAGTTTTTTCACTATCGGCAAATTCTGGTATACATAGATCCTCCCGGGCGAAGTCTATGGCTTCTGCAACTGAGGAGCTGAGAGTTTGAACAGCTAATTTCACATTCATTTTGTGATGCTGCCATTCAACAGTAGTATAGGACCTTTCAATTTGGTCGCACGGGGATTCCCCATTCCATTTCATTTCATGGGGAAAGTGCGACCAAATTGAAAGGTTCCAAAAAAAACCTAAACACCCTACATTTCATAAATTCTTACACCAAAAAAAACCTAAACTCCCTACATTACATAAATTCTTACACCTATACACCCTACATTTCATAAATTCTTACACCAAAAACAACTTCAATCAATTCCTACATTCCATCAAAAAAAAAGCATATTAAAAATACCCTTATATAAAATAACATTCAGTTTCCAATAGCCTCGTTTTAAATAATGTTATTTTTAGTCTAGAAGGGAGATAACTCTTGTTTTGGAAACACAATTTTCTACTCAAATTTTAAACCTTAAAAATGGCAAATAAAATACTAGATCCAATCTTTAGATTATACGATCCGATTTGTTATTCGTTTAACAAGAAAAAAGAGGATTATATTATCATCTCACCCACTGTTGGTTCTAAATCCCAATTGAATGATGGTGGTAGAATTACCTTCGAAATAAATTCATTATTCGAATTGGTTGCTTCTTTCCGATGCTTATTTCAGATGCGATTTCAAAATTAGAGATGGAACTCAGAATCAAGTTCTACAAACTAATACAACGTTAGAAAACAATTTCTTTCCATCTTTATTTAGCGAGATGGTTTTGGAAGCTGGTTCAAATCCAATAGAAACAATTAAACACCCTGGGGAATTCGACACAATGTTGAAAACAGTTTTATATCCTAAGGATTTCGATTCAGTCTCAGGTTGGATATCCGATGTTAGTGATGGAAGTGTTTTAAAAGAACCGGTAAGAAATCTTGCAAATGATTCTGATTTAGCTAGAGTGAGAGTTGTTGCAAGAAACACAATAGAAAGAGTAGCACGAGCAGCTAATCATGGATTCGAAAAACGAGTACTTCAGTATAATAATGTTGTTGAGAAAAATAGGTGGGGTAATTACGTAAATTGGAAATTATATCCTTTAATCGGTCTGTTGGAACACAGAAAGGTTTACATAGGGTTACCATATAAAATTCATCTACAAAGAGAAATCAACGATGATAAGATATTCTTTGGAGAGAATGGTTCAGATGCAAAATTAGAAATAACGAATCTCCAACTTTTCATACCCGTAATAACACCATCAATTGAAGTAGAAACGAGAATATTCAACTCATTAACTTAGGATATTGAAATAGGTTTTCTTCATCGTAACACGGTAGGTAGCATGACTTTAACAGGAGAATCCACCAAATGGCCAATCACTAACACTATTAAACCAGCAAGATAGTATTAATGGTTAGTCAAAGTCAAACATAAGGGTAATGGAATATTTAAAAAAAATATACAAACTAGAGAAGGATTCAAAGTATAAAGGAGAAGGAGTGATTTTTAGAATAAAAGAAAATAATGAAAAATGGGCAAAAAATTTCATCATTCAGAAATATTTCCTAATAACCCAATGCTCATATGTATATGCGGTAGTTCCGGTTCTGGGAAAACTCATCTCACTTTTAACATGTTGACAACACCAAAGCTTTTAGACTTCGATTCACTATATATCTACACAACAACACCAGAGCAATCGTATTATTAATTCCTCAAAGCTTTAGAATATTTACCAAAGAAAGATGTTCAAGACGTATTTCAATATTACGAAGAAAACGAAGAAGAAGTGGAAGTAAAAGATATCATAGAAAACTTCATTAAAGCAAAGAATCCATCTTTCAATCCAACAGATATAAAAGTTTTTCTTACGAAAAATGTTAATGATCTAGACTTGTCTAATATTGATAGCAATCAAAAGAACTTAATATTGTTTGACGACTGCGTAGCGCAAATAAATCAAACTGTTCAACAAGAATTCTTCACCAAAGGAAGACATCACAACTGTCACTGTATATACCAATCCAAATCTTTTTACGGGATGGATTCTATGTTCATTAGAAAAACTGCAAATTGTTTTTTATTATTTGAATTAAACGATAAAGATTTATCTCAAATCATTCAGTCGATAAATCACGGAATATAAAAAATTTAAAAAAGAATGTAAAGCTCAATGGAGAAACCGAGATGATCATGGATATGTATTTGTAAATACTAGAAAACCTGCGGGTGAAAGAGTTATGATCGACATATGTTTTATTTTTTTTTAAATGAGTAGCGATTGGAATAATATTTTAAAAAGAAATACAGAATATGACAAAGCTAAGAATAAAAGTCCCAAGTCGAAAATAACAACACTTGGATTAACAGAAAATCTACGAACTCTATTTCAACCAATAATAAAATCTCAAGAGGATATTAAAAAGAAATTAATTTTATAATATAGACCTCCTTTAGAACCTCATAAAGATCACCCAGGACCGAATCAATATGGTGGTATTATAATTAGGTCATTAGATGATATTAATAGTCTTTTTTCAAACACTAAAGCAGATTTACCAAAGAGTATTACACCAATCATTGATGATGAGGGGTTATTGTTTAATGGATTTAGAATAAAATTTAGGGCAAATTCCCCTTTATTCAAAATCGATACAAAAGACTTATAAACTAAAGTTATTCCTGATGAATATGAAGATGATGAATGAGATGATGAAGCAGTTGATTATGCAGAAGATTATCCAATCATACAAGAAATAGACGAATTCGATGATATGGTGGCATCTGGACTAGGTATAACGTTTTTATCCGACAACAACGAGGAACTACTTAATAGATTACGAGTAATATTAGCGACACACAGACAATTTAATGAAGTGAATTGTATACTAAAAAGACTCCTAGAGTAAGGTATTATAGATAAAAATGATTATAAAAGCGTGAAATAAAAATGTCAAATAAAGAACAACTATTCGTTATCACCTCAAATAAATCAGACATTAAATTATTCGTTATCACCTCAAATAAATCAGACATTAAATTGTCTCTAGATTATGAGTAGTTATTCGATCGCAATCAAGAATATGAATTGGGATTAAAGTATTTCTCTGTTTACAATTCCATTAGAAATATCAACGAGAAAAATAATCAAATAAAAATATCAACAGATAATGGAGTTACATTGAAAACCATACATTTACTACCAGGAAGCTACGAATACATAGCCATTAGTGAATACCTTTCTGAATATGGAGGAAGTGTAAATGGTAAAAACAATATTGAATTCGAAGGTAATTTGAATCTGAACAAAATAAAATTGATATTAAGAAATAATAGTCAAGTTGATTTCAATGTAGAAAATTCATTGAATGCGTTACTAGGATTTGATAAACAAATATACACCCAATCCACTTTAGCACCACACAAAGCTAATATCGAGAATGATATCGATGTCATAAATATACATTGCAATTTAATAAACGGTGGATTTTTCAATAAAAACAAACGTCAGATTATTTACAGTCTTCCAACATTCACTGTACTGATAGGATATAGAATTATACTATAGAGAAACCATTTCAAACGACGTATTTACCACTTAATTCCTTTATGATTAAAGATATAAATCTGGAAATCAAAGATGGTAAAAATAGGTTTATAGATTTTGGTAACGAGGAAATTGTTATTCAACTTCATTTAAAACAAAAAAATTAACACTCTTCATTCTCTTCTTGAATAGTAAGGTAATCGAAATCATCAAATTCGTAGCTTTCATCCAAACTCAATTCATTTTTATCACCATAAGGCCACACCAATTTAATTAGTTGAATTACGGGCAATCTTTTGAAAAAAGCAGGGAGCAGGGGGGGATAAAAATAAAAATAAAAAAAAAATCTGCATTTCAAGAAGACGAAAAAGGAATGTATTTAAAACTTTATTAATATCCTTTGGAAACAAACAACTTAAATTGAGCCTCAATGAATATATTGAAAAGATTAAAGGTGATATGTCATGTGTGTAATTATGCCTTTAAAACAAAATACACTCAAAATATATCTTAGATACAGGAAAGAGAATTGGCCGAAAGCCTTTAAAATGTGAAAGATAACACATATTAAATGCAAAATAAATTAGTGCAAGTAGCATACTTATACGAAAATGCACATAAATTAAACACAAGATAGCCATCAAAAGTTTGGGTCAATTGTCACACAGCATTATATTGTATATGCTTTCAAGATATTTTTTAACATTTTTGGCTCCCCTTACAACTGGCTCCTTTCCAGTAGCTTTACATTGGCAGCAGATAGATCTGACAACAGAGTAATTTAACTTTAACTGTTGAATGTCAATGTCATTTGCAAGTGGCCCTTCTGATGCACAGTAATAACAACAATCTGGAAATTTCACTAGCTTGGCACTATAATAAGATACTTCCATTGGATCCCTGCACCTTAGACCTTCTTTTACAATAATAGTATCGTAACACTGATTATCCTCTGGAAATAACGAATCTCCACAGATATAATTAGAGCTATTTTGTATTGAACTTATGGCTTTTGTTTCCTTTAAGTCAAGCTTTTTGTTTGAATACATGCATCTGGGCTTTTTGCACTCACCACAATAGATTTTTGAACGCACTTTTGCAGTTACTAATATTGTCTTGTGAAGTTTGTCCCTCTCACATGCACCACTAAGTTTCAATGAAGGCCGAGCTGAATCATCGGTAACTGTGCCATACACATCCTCAAATTTTAAAAATTCAGTTTTATTTTCATTTAAAACTGGATCGGGAATGAAATCTAAATCATTGAACACATCCTTGTCTAGACGAGAAGGAGACATTGAACAGTACCAACAGTTTGGGGCATCAATTTCACTACATTTTTTTATCTGAAAAATATAATGTCTTTTTCTGCAGTGCTTATCAAAGAAATCAATCATTTTTGGACACGATTCAATGGATTTTTTGGAAAGCGATTCTACATCAAAATTGTTGTCAATCAGTTTTAATGCACTAATAAAGGTATCAATTTCATCACCAGTAGCAGACTTGCAGGCAATTACTGACTCATTTTTTAATTTCAATCTTTGAAAGCGCTCCATTAACATTTGAATAATTGGTTCAACAGACTTGATCATGGCTTGTTTCAGATTTTGACTTTTGGCAGAAGCTAATCTTAGATCTTTCATGGTTGATATATGTTTAACTCTTGCTTCCACAGAGTCGTCCATTTTATCTCTTGACAATGCGACATTTTGTAATGCACGTTTAAAATGGCATTAACACATTCTGCCAAGTTTGCATAACTCTGACATGGTGCTGTACGACAAGTTACAAACATGTCAAGGTCAAGAAGCAGAAAAAGAGCTATGCTTGCTAGCTGTACAGAAGGATATGTGGTCCTGTGATCAGGGCCACCGTCTGTGTAGCATATCAAAATTGGTGAATCAAGATACACACCATCTTCACTATACACGTCTCTTAATGTTTCTGTACCATGCCTAGTTGCTTCTGATGCCTCAAACACTTTGTTTTTACATGTAACAGAAATCTGTCCTTGAAAAAATGAATCACTTATATCTTCCGGTATTGAACTGATGAAGCAAACAGATGGAATAATACCATGGATATGGAAGTCATGGTCAAGGGAAACCAATCCTTGAGAAGCAAGACTTTTGTTGTGAGCTCTAACACCAGTTGAAATGGGTCTGTCTGGTTAGCCTACAGGTACAATTGATTTATCATCCAAATAAATCAATTTTGAAAAGTTACGGAGTTTTACGGCAAAGTTCCTAAGATATTTATATTGTACAGCACAATATTTTGCATCTGGATGGGTTGCCCGAAGCAGTCTCTGCTGAACAACAAACTTTAAATCAAATCGTCCTGTGTCTGTAAAGCACGCAAGCTTGTAACATTTTTTGGCCAGAACTGGAGACGAAGCCACTCATTGCTTGGAATATCAGTTGAAGTAGGAAGTCGTTTTTGAATTGTATTTCTTAGCTCTTCGATCGATAAATGTAAGGCAAGTACAACTGTTCACCATGACGTCTTTCATGAACTGCTGGGACCATTTCTTCAATATATTTTTGGGTCTCTTCCCAAAATGCATCAAATTTTGTTTTACCATTTTCTCCATTTAATTTACGAAGGTCATAGATTATTTCTTCTTCTTCAGTACTGAGGAGAAATTCTGCAACCCTTTGGTCCACACCTTTAATCAGTTCAGTTTCAGATGCAGAAGAATCTCCAGTCAAATCACTACATCGGTAGTTTCATGGTCTATTTCATCCAGCTTTAACGCTGGAGACGGTTACTTCTTCTGTGTCCTGCCATCCGGAGCGCGTCAACAAATTACCAACATTTTCGTCATCAGGCACGCACTATAGTTCGTTTTGTTACATGGCCCTCGGTACATATGGAGACGTTGATATAAACATCGAGTTCAATGCTCATTTTCTCACATTTTCACATAGATGTATTTTCATCACAACAATTGAATAATGGCCGATGAGAGAATTTTTACAAAATTTGCAGACTGGAACGAACCAAATGACAAATCATGTGTTGTTGGTTTATTTTATTTTTTGAAAGGCTTTTCCAGATTTCCAGAACTAATCTCATAATACAACAAATTTTAAAACTATCTAGCCAACAATCAACATATTACAAACCAATTTATCTTTCGAATGAAAATAGCTTCAGTTCAAGATTTATTTTAGAAATTTGCAGGCACCTCATTTGCATAGTCGTACTTGCTTTGTAGTACCGTTATCAAAAACATCGTGGAACTAGCCTTTTGTCTCATTAACACTGACCATTCAACAGTGAACGCTTTCGCTAAGCGAGTACAACTTATCAACCAAGTTACGTCCCTTTAGGATTTCGTGTTGAAATTTTTACATCGGCGGACACAGTAAGAATAAAAAAAAAATAGATTTTTTCATTTTTATTTTTATTGGGATTCGTCAAAAAAGCAGGTCGGCGGGCCCGTAATCCAAGTTTATAAATTGGTGTCGCCTAAGGATACATGATTCCTTCATCGTCCGGTGCTTTTCTCTTAACGAGATTCAGATAACTTCTAAAAACTTTCTTTTGTTTATCATCGTCCTTTGGAATAACTACTCCATTGGGGAAACTTTTTTCCCATGGTTTCTTAAATTCATTCGTCACATCCTGTCCACTATCTAATCGAATATAATCTTCTACAGCTATCTTATCATTAGAGTAACCCTTAAACGTTTTCTTTTCTTTTAGAATACCGTCGGAAGTCAGAATGATATTGTATTTAACTTTTGGCGCTAAATATAAACCATATATAATTCCACCATCACCGTAATCATTCTTTCCTTTACAATAATCATTTTCGGACACCAACCCAGCTTCATTTAATTTATCCCAATTGCTAGACGAAATGTATAAACTATCAGTATCTGTATAGTATATTTCCGTTTTTTTATAAAATCCATCTAGGACGTGAATAAAATTATTCATTATTTTTTTACTGTGAGATAATACGAATGATCCCAAATGTTAGTCGTGTAGATTTAGGAGGTGTACAGTCAAATTCTTTTTCTTCTTCATTTATCTCAACGATATATTGAGTCTCATTTTCAGGAAAGCTTTTGACGTGTGAATCGAAGTTGGTTTTTAAAGTTGCTTCATAAATGTCTCGATGTAGTTATATCCTTCTGAATAGATTTACCATACAATGAATTCCCTAATAATTTCATACAACCTACAATATTACCTTCTCGTTTATATTTATTTCTTAGATCTCTCAAAATTAAAATATAATCTCTATAGGGTGGAGTAATAAAATTTTCTTCGTATACTATACCATCTAATATTTTAATAATTCGTCCGCCGGCTTTAACTATTTCTTGAATATCGACCGATGTTAAAACTTCTGAACTATTTTGCAATATTAATATTGGTGATCTTTCTCAAATTCATCGGTAGATTAGATGAATTTCCCCATGCCGCCAAACTAGATATTTCATGTTGATAGGAACATATGAAATTAATATTTTGCAAATAATTAGAGTTGCCCATTATTTGTTTTTGTCTTTTCCATTTTTTCTGTAATTATTCATTGGTGAATGAATTAGTTAAAGGTAGAGACAGAATCCCTCTAGCTGTTACTAGTGGACATTGCGTTAGTTTTTTCGCATTTTTAAGCACAATCCAGTTATCAAAACCGCTACCGTTGTGAGAAATTAATGTTAATCTTTTTTGATCTATTTTTCCTAAACGTTGTAACATTTGATCGATGCAATCTTTACCCACAAATATTTCTACTATATTCATTAATTTATTATAAAATAATGGTACACTATCAGTGGGATTTAAATGTGGAAAGTTATGTTTTATTCTGTCTAACATTTTTCTTAGTTTTTCTAAATTAATTAACGTGCAAGAATAAGGAATGGCTTTATGCGTTTCTTTTTCGCCATAGGTTTCGCAATCCCATGCATATAAACAATCATCGTGAATTGTTGGAAAAACGTTTAGTTTTAAAGGTGAAACTTGCGTTACCGCATTATCATCTCTACAAGTTCTCCATACGTTTTAATCGTAATTATCTTCTATTTCTGTAATGCCTAAGGTTTTGTTATTTCTCCCAATCTAACTCTTCGGATACTTTCTTTGGTTGAAAATGTCTATGTTTGGGCATATAAATTTGAAAATAAGTATTAAATTTCTTATTGAATTCACAGATTCTAGCAGTTGTTATAACTCCTTTTCTGTTTGATTTTGAAAAACTGTTGATGGAATCTTGAAATTCTTTCGTGTAGTCTTCGTTTGAAACTCGATTTACACACTTTACAAAGCAGTATCCATCGCTTGGTATACATAACAATTTATACCGATATATTCTTTTATCTTTTTGAGTAGGGTAACACCACTACCCTTTATTGATCTTTTTATTTCTTTGAAATTGTTTCTACGTAAAATGATTTTTCCTGAGAAATACCAATCAGAAACATCCGATAATAATTCGTCCGCCAGCTTTAACTATTTCTTGAATATCGACCGATGTTAAAACTTCTGAACAGAGACCATTTCTGAACCTGATTTTAGTGCCAGTTTCCTTACTACCTTCTTTGTTCGTAAAAGTAATTTTATCTTTAGCTGGTATGGGTTGAAAGAACATCTTGGTAGGATATTCAAACCAGACTTTTAAAATAGCCGTTCTAGGTTCGATCTCAATAGCCTACCAGTAGACTACGTACATAGGCCTAGCCTTGGCCTATTAAGACTTATGTTTTTATACCTTACGCTTACGTTGTTGTGCCTTCAAAAAAGTCTCAGATACTATATGAATTGCAACCTGAGGTAGAAACATGAAAGGCAGATTCATTTATCTGTTTATTTATTTGATTGTTTGTTTAGGCTAGGTGGCGAAGAGGAATTGATTCGAGAGCTACAGGTTTGTGTGAAGTGTTAGACCTAGGCCTAGTAAGCCATAGGTACAAGATGTCAGGGAGTTGAGGCCTATAATATAAAAGAGACTTTCAGACTTTTAGATATAATCAATCATATATAAACCGATGGCTACATAGCCTAAACGTTATAGGCAGTAGAAGTGGGCCAATTCTATAGAGTCTATAGACCTAGAGCCTAGACGTCTAGTTTCTAATTCTAGCCTGTAGAGCCTTCATTGGCTTCGTCATAGAATAGGCTAGGCCAAATTTGTTTGAAAGAGGGATTAAATCATGATAATAGACTTGCCTATGAAATGCTAAGCCATTCCCTTTCTTTCTCGTGTTAGAACACCCGTAACAACTTCAACTTTCAGGCATATTGTGTACAAAAACAATAAGTAGGTCAAGCTTTAACGTCAAGTCAAGTCCCCTGACTCACGATGGCTGACAAGGCTACTTGTCGGCCCGCGGTCACGTTATCAGTGTATACTCTAGTTTCTATATATAACTCTATGGTGATAACCAACACACATGCCAAGTTTCATCAATATCCATCAAGAATTGTGCCTTCTAGAGTGCTTACGAACTAAAAATAGAAGGCATTTTCAAGAACAAGGGCAATAACTAATACTAAATATTTTTCAATTTTTCTGATTTTCGATAGGGTTTATCCTTGGGTGATTACAAACACTCACACCAAGTTTCGTCAAAATCCATCAAGAATTGTGCCTTCTAGAGTGTTTACAAGCTAAATTGAACGCGTTTTCAAGAACAAGGGCAATAACTCATACTAAATATTTTTTAATTTTTCTGATTTTCGATAGAGTTTATCCTTGGGCTATTACGAACACTTATACTAAGTTTCATCAAAATCTGTCATGAATTGCACCTTCTAGAGTGTTTACGAGTGTGTCAAGAACAAGGGCAATAACTAATACTAAATATTTTTCAATTTTTCTGATTTTCTATAGGGTTCATCTTTGGGTGATTACAAACAACCATACCAAGTTTCGTCGAAATCAGAATTGTGCCTTGTAGAGTGTTTACGAGCAATTGTGGACGGACGGACCGACGAACCGACGGAAAGAGGTGACGGCAATATACGCCCCCCATTTCATGTGGGCGTATAAAAATTAATCATTTATCCATAAAAATATTTTTACAATCACTTCCAAGATTTTATTGTCCAGAAAAAATGATCAATCTATTTAGTGTCTGACGACTTTCGGATGAAATTTTCTCTCGAAGCTTAGCAGTATACTGTCTACCCTCATAGTAATAGTGAACTTGAAGATACTTCTCTACTACAGATTTAATAAGTAGAACCAAATGATTATTATAACCTTCATTATATTCCACTATAGCCCTACGGGAATCTCAGATTTACGAATGCATTATTCTTGTTACGTCACTAGAATATGCACGCCAATCAACATTCAAAGAAAGAAAAATTCACGTGCTTGTCTGTGTATACAAGCAGTCATGTGACTAGATATGGGTACTATATAAACCATAGCTTACTGTGATCAATGTCTTTTTTCTTGTTGAAAGCTAGACCTTGCACGTCGTAAGTAATTTGTTTACTCTGCTTTTTGTCGTTGACATTAGCGTCCTCTACTTTTACTTTAGTGAAAGCCGCTGGCTTTCATTGTGTTTTAGTTCCGATTCGATCCGTTGGGTCTTATCTATTTTATCAAACACGATGGATGATTCAAACATCCCTGTCAACAATGACATTATTATTAGTTATGATCCATTGGACTTAAATTCTTTGGACACAGATATATCTCCCTCAAATCGGGCCACTGTACATAATGTTTGTGTTGGAATGCAAACATCCGGGGCTTCTGGTAAACCGGAAGTGAAAACAAAAGTAAACAATCCGAGGAAACGCCGGAATTGTAATACTCCCACTGGTGAGACCATTAATAACCCCAAGACCCGGAAAACAAATGTAGTAAGATCGACTGTTGTCAAGTCGGGTCGTAAGGTGCCGACTAGGCCTACTGTTAACTTTAGCCATGGCCATCTGAATGAGGGGAGTAAGTCCAACTCCAGTGTTGGTAATAAACCATGTACAGTAGGTTCGAGTGAATACTACGATTTTTCATCGGCACTTAACAATGAGCAGAATGATTCTGTTTATGATTATGAACATGATTATGACCGTGATATATATTTGGATTGTGACCCTTCAACGTTTACTGAGATGCGAAATAACAATCCTAGTACTACTAGCTCTTATAGTAATTGTAGGCCTAATGATAATAGTGTTGTTCTTCTTAATCGACAGGAGTACCAAGATATGAAGAATGAAATGGCTGCCATGAAGAATTTTTTACAGGCAAATATTCCTATTGTTCAGGAAGTTAAGAATGACAGGCGTACCGGTGCTCCTACCGAACTACACGACACCAGTAACGAGCCTATAATCGATTTAGTTGACCCAGAGTCAATGTATGATGAATTCCTTAAAGAATTTGAGGACCCTGATGAATTTGACATTCCAAAAATCTTTCAGGGGGATGATCTCTTTGCTAAACCAGCTAAGGATAGCATCTTAAATCTGGTCAATGTTGCCACATCTAAAAGGGTCGAAATTGGCAAAATGGCTTCTAAGTATCCATTGCCTGTTAATTGTAAACGTCTTGTCCCTCCTTTAATGGATGGTGACGTTTGGAGTGTCTTGCCAAAACAGGCCCAGGCTCAGGATAGCTCTTTGCAAGACGTACAAAAGCTCATTGGCCTCAGTATAGTCCCCCTCCTCCCTTTACTTTCCTTGAGTGACAAACAGGAAGTGAAGAATAATGTGGTTGATTCCATAGTTACAATGGGAAATGCCATGTTGGAATTATCCTTTAGAAGGAGAATTTTTCTCAAACGTTTTCTGAGCAAGAGATACCACACCTTGTGTTCGACAAGTCGCCCCGTTGATGAAACCCTATTTGGCCCAGATGTTGCGACACGTATGAGAGATATCGATCAGTCTAATCGCCTCTATTCTAACTTGAATAACAATTCTAATAGAAATTACAGATTTAATAATAGACGATCTTTTTTAGGCCAGGGCTCAGTCGGCCGCTCAAGAGGCAGGTTTCGGTCAAGGGGGCGTTCTCGGGGAAGATATTCCCGAGGACAGAATTACCAGCATCCTCAAACAACTACTCAGCCACAACAGTCTGCTTAAATATAGTAAGTAGCAAAAATTTATTTTCTGCCGGTCAAATTTCAAACTATTTATCCAACTGGAGAAAGTTGTCTTCAGATCAATGGATTTTAGAGACCGTTCAGGGGTACATTATTGATTTTATCAGTCCCCCTGTTCAAAGATATCAACCTGTTGCACCAAATTTTAATGAATATGAAATGTCTTTGATTGATAAGGAAGTATTTGATATGTTTTCCAAGGAAGCCATTGAGATTGTTTCAAGTGATCCCTGACAGTTTGTTTCAAATATTTTTCTTGTTCGAAAGAAAAATGGCAAATTTAGACCAGTAATAAATTTGAAAGCCCTTAATGAATTTGTTGAATATGAGCATTTTAAACAAGAGACTTTGTGTATGACTCTCCGTACAATTCAACCCAATGATTTTTTAACGTCCATTGATCTGAAAGATGCCTATTTTTCAATACCAATTTATTCTGGGCACAGAAAGTTCCTAAGATTTTACTGGCGTAACATTCTTTATCAATTTACCTGTTTGCCATTTTGTTTATCATCTGCCCCTCGAGTTTTTACCAAAACTCTCAAACCTATTTTTGCTCATTTAAGGAGACAAGGTATAATTTGTTCTTATTTTATTGATGATTCTCTATTTTCTGCTAAAACATGGGATCAAAGTCTACGAAATACTAAGAAGGCATCAGACCTTTTTGAGAGTCTCGGGTTTTGCATTAATACTGACAAATCCAATATGATTCCATCCAAGGAAATTGTATTCTTGGGATTCTTGCTCAATACAGAGACTTACACAGTCTCTTTAACACCTGATAAGGTTATTAAGATTAAAAATATGGCCAGTGATTTATTATCATCTGAAACTCTGACTATTCGTAAACTTGCATCTTTTATTGGGCTTTGTTCATTTTCAAGAACGGCTATTATTGTCGCTCCTCTGTTTATTCATTACTTAGATAAGCATAAGACTTTAGGCCTTTTTAGTAATGATCAAGATTATGATCCTTCTATTTATCTTACTAGGGATATGAAATATGAGTTAGAATGGTGGATTCACAATGTGGATGATTACAATGGATTTTTTATCCAACCCCCAGAGTTTTCAGTTGTCCTTACAACAGATGCTTCCAATTTGGGTTGGGGGGCTGTTCTTGGTAATAACCATATTAATGGTTTGTGGACTAGTTCAGAGTCTGGTTTTCACATAAATTATTTGGAGCTTCTGGCCGTTTTTCATGCCTTGAGATGTTTTGCCAGTAAGGTTTCAGGGAAACATGTTCGTATCCTATCCGATAACATTGTGGCCATAGCTTATATTAATAATGTTGGTGGTTCAAGTGATACTCTTTTTCCACTGTCCAAGGATATCTGGTTATGGTGTACTGCTCGTCAAGTCTTTCTATCTGCCCAGCATTTGCCTGGTTTCTGTAATACTGTGGCAGATTCGTTATCTGGAAACTTTTCCTATTCCACTGAGTGGAAACTCAATGAATATGTTTTTCAGAAATTATGCAGGAAATGCTTTGCACCTGACACTGACCTTTTTGCTTCTCGTATAAATACTCAGTTAGAGACATATGTGTCCTGGTTTCCAGACCCTTATTCTGTTACAGTTGATGCTTTTTCTATTTGCTGGAATATGTTTAAACCATATATCTTTCCTCCTTTCAGCCTGATCCTGAGAGTTTTGGAGAAGTTAAGGAGGGACATGGTCAAAGAAGCTTTAATCATAGTTCCAGCATGGTCTTCACAGGTATGGTTCCCAATACTATTAGACATGCTGATCAGGCCACCTGTTCTGTTGCCTTGCAGAAAAGATTTGCTGCGACTGGCACACAACAATGCTCTGCATCCGCTACGAGGGAAAAGGCTTTTCCTTACAGGATGTGTAGTATCCGGAGACATCTCTTTGAATCAGGCCTTTCAAGGCAGTCTCGAGAAACCATACTCCAATCTTGGAGACCTGGAACCAATAAACAGTACGATCTCGCCTGGCGCCGCTGGTGTCTTTGGTGTCTTCCAAGGCAGGTTGATCCGTTGGATCCATCTTTAGGAAATATTATAAATTATCTGGCCTATCTATCTATTGAGAGTTCATATAGTGTTGTCAACACTCACAGGTCAGCTATTTCACAAACGTTACAAATTCTTGGCAATAATGTTTTGAAAGATCAGTCTTTGGTCAAACGTTTCATGAAAGGTCTATTTGACAGGAAGCCTCCTCGGCCTAAATATCTGGTGACATGGGATGTTTCTGTCCTGGTGCGTTATCTTTCCACCCTGTATCCCTTGGAAAACCTAACACTGAAACTCTTAACATACAAATGTGTCTGCTTAATGTCCCTTTGCACTGGTCAGAGATGTCAGACACTTACTGCATTTGATATTAACAATATCTTAGACAATGGTTCATCTGTCTCATTAAGAGTCAACAGAGTTTTGAAGACTTCTCAGATAAACAATCCTCTATATTCAATTCATTTACAGAATTTTGTAGATGTAAAGGTCTGTCCTTGTGCTACGCTTAGGAAATACCTGGAACAGACTGCAGACATTAGAAAGTCTGGACAGCTTTTTATTTCCTTTATTACTCATAGAGGTGTCTGTGCATCCACCATTGCAGGGTGGATCAAGAAATGTATGTTGTCTGCTGGAATCGATACCAATATTTTCACTGCGCACTCAGTTCGGAGTCCTACAACATCAGCTGCATTAAAATCTGGTTGTAACATTTCAGATATTATGAAGACTGCCAGCTGGAGGAATGTTGATACGTTTAACAAGTATTACAAGAGGGAAACTGTAAATGCTGATGGTTTTCAGGAATTTATATTAAAGACTTAAAACTTTGGTTGTTTTTTCTGTTGTCAACCCTTTAAAATTGCATTCGTAAATCTGAGATGCCCGTAGGGCTATAGTGGAATATAATTCCCCTCTCATCCGATCGCCCGTAGGGCGCGATGGATGAGAAGGATTATATGAATATATAGCCCGGAGGGCTCGAGGATTTATGATCCCTCCCTTGTCTCCCTCCCTTGGCTTTTTTGGTTGACAAACTTCTACTTTAAAAAAGACATTGATCACAGTAAGCTATGGTTTATATAGTACCCATATCTAGTCACATGACTGCTTGTATACACAGACAAGCACGTGAATTTTTCTTTCTTTGAATGTTGATTGGCGTGCATATTCTAGTGACGTAACAAGAATAATGCATTCGTAAATCCTCGAGCCCTCTGGGCTATATATTCATATAATCCTTCTCATCCATCGCGCCCTACGGGCGCTCGGATGAGAGGGGAATTTTCTAGCATATGTTCATTAAGGCAGGAAAAAATATCTTTGTTAATATAATGTTTCAAAACAGATTGAACTAATTTGTGACATTGTACATTAAACAAATATGCACGTGAACATCTTCAACTGACATATTGCCGAAAAAATTTCTCAAGTCTTACAAATATCAATGACATCATTAGACGGAATAGTGAGCGAAGATTTAGATTTCAGTACAATCAACGAATTTAACGGTGAACATGACATAAAATCAGATAATGCAATTTACACAGGTTTCGCAATGAATTGACTTCTTTAATTTGAAAGCTACGAAACCGGCAATATAAGCAACTATTTTCTCAGAACAGCTTGACAATACATTTCTATTTGGAGCGTAAATATATTCCTGATCTTTTACCACCTGAAATTCTTCACCCATCATTCTGTTTTTAGTAATCGACAAATTTAGATTTTCTACAGAAGGTACCACCGTATCAACATTTGTACTAATAGTACGACTTGTAGCAGTTAAGATAGGAATGGATTCTAGAGCGAAGCCACATCTTGTACATCATTATGGGACAATATTTTCTTATATGCGCTTTTAAATTGCCTTACCTTGGATTATTATTACAGCCGCCCATACTCCTGATTTTCCCAAAAAAAAGTTCAATGTGGTCCTGACTGAACTTGTAAGTCAACAAAAATTTTAAACCATATTTCTCTGATAAAATTAATTCTTCGAACAACGATCTTATGCTCTGAAAACACAACAGAAACCCCAGGAAACCTGTCTTACGATTACTGTCAATAATTGATTCACCATTATACGATTGATGCAACGATAAAATATACGATTGCGCACTCGTCAGAAAATTAAAAACATTTAAATAGTTATTCATTTGCAAAGGGGCTTTTAAACAAAGGCTTTCAAGCTCCTAGAATTCAAAACATCAAATAGTTTATCAAACATTCGAATAAAACTAATAGTTTCCTCACAACCTTCGAATTCTAGAATCTTCTCATTTAAACAAAAGTCTAAAGAAGTTGCTACAAAATCACTCAAAGTCTGAGCAGCTAATCTTACATTCATTTTCTTTTTTAAACCAAGCAATATGGCTAGCTCTCAACCTATTCCCCAAATGAAGTCCTTCTTCATCTTTCAAATATTTTAAGTAATCCCATTTAATAATATCATTTACAAAAATTGATCCTTTATCGGCAAGTGTGTTGCGAACTACATTGTTTGATCTATAAATAAGTCTAGAAAAACACGTTGTATGGATACCGGGTGGTATAATTAACTTCTCTTAGTATTTATCTTTAATATCAATTCATTATAACTAGTGACAATTCCTTCAAAGAACCACTATTTTAAAAAAAAATAGTGACTGACAAAATAAGATACGTAGCGTGATTTATTGCTAAAAGTCACTGAAACAACATAAGAATATGGTCCACTTTGTGTTCCATAAAAATTTTCTGCTGACACAGAATCCACTAGTTGATCACGTGACTTCATTTGTTGAAATATATTCTAGCAGACGACACTTGGAATTCCGATTACCGCTTGGGATTATAAGAAATTCGGCCGATAAAAAATGGTGACGTTTGGTAATAAGTGAAATCCGCCATTTTGTATTTGTTAAGTATACATTAATACATTTTACCTTGCTTGAAACTACCAGATTCATTCTATTAGCTGATATTGTAGAGAAAACCCATGTTTATCAAAACAAACTAATGCGGAGGTCGTGCAAGGTCGCTCATGCAAATTATTTATCATTTCCAGAAATCCACGAATAATAGGTTTCCACGAAATTAGGTTACTTGACTGTATATGTCTTGGATGGTTCCAGTTTAAACCCAATGATTGCAACATAGACAAATTTGCTGCAGCTCCATCATGTGTCAAAGAAATAATTAAAACACCAGCTGAATAAAGTTGTTCAATACAATCAGTTTTTTTGCGCTCTTCACATCCGAGACCATTAATCAAAAAATATCCGACTGGCAATTTCCAGGAAGATTTCAGATCAACCACCATAAACACTAACGCTTCCTTTGCAAGCGGAAGGGAATGGTCATCAAGCTCTGTCCTCATGTCAATATAACCATGGTATTTCTGTGCAGAGTATTTTGTTGGTAAGGGGTGGTTTTCAATTTTAGTCTTTTGTCTTTTTAATAAATCTGGGATTCCACCAGTACAGGACTCTAAAACATCAATACTGCTACTATGTTCTCCTTGAAATAATCTGGAAATGCAGCAAAAATAGACGGAATAGCAGATGGCTGAAGACGAACAATGCTGCGATGTTCTATCAAAGTCTTCTTCTTTAAAATGTTTGGAACAAAGAAGTGCGGACTTGTTCTGATATTCGTTAAATGAAATTTGGTATGATCATTTATAATGATGAGATCTTAGTCAAGATTGAATTTGACAATTTTTCGATCAACAGAATTTGAGTTTTTGCCCATGACGTAGTAAAAACTCATCAAAATTTGTTGGCGATAAAGGTGACAGTTTATGTCAGAATTTTATTAAATAATGTGTGTTTGTTTAAATCAACAATATCCTGCACAAATTAGATTTTTGGTATGATTTGACATAGATAGATGACTGCCCTTGATATACTGAAAATGTATCAGGAAAGTGGGCGTATATTGCTAGGCAACCACTTGTTCTGATTTTCGTTAGGTGATTAGATATACTCACACCAAGTTTCGTCAAAATCCATCAAGAATTGTGTTTTCTAGAGTGTTTATGTGCTACTAATTGAACACATTTTCAAGAACAAGGGCAATAACTCATACCAATTATTTTTCGATTTTTATACCCCCACATGAATATGTGGTCGTATATTGTCGTCGCCCCTGTCCGTCGGTCAACATTTCTTGTGAGCACTATAGAGACTGCAGTTTTTATCTGATTTTGATAAAACTTGGTGTGGTGCTTTAGATTGATAAGATCTCGATCAACTTCGAATTTGACATATTTTCGATTAACAGCTTTTGAGATATTGCCCTTGACTTAGAACGCCTTGAAATTTGTTAAAAATTATTCGTGCGCAGGATTGAAGCTACAGTTTTCATCCGATTGTGATGAAACTTGATGAGATTATTGGAATTCTTAAGATCTCGGACAAGTTCTAACTTGACGCATTTTCGATGAATGGTTTTTGAGTTATTGCCCTTGACTTTGTTAAAACGCGTCGAAATTTGTTAAAAAATAGTTCGTGAGCAGGATTGAAGCTACAGTTTTCAACCGATTCTGATGAATCTTGGTGTGATCATTGGAATTGATAAGATCTCGGACAAGTTATAACTTGACACATTTTCGATGAACGGTTTTTGAGTTATTGCCCTTGACTTTGTTAAAATGTGTTAAAATTTGTTAAAAATAATTAGTGAGCAGGATTGAAGCTACAGTTTTCAACCGATTCATACTTTAGTCACTAAAGACTGTTTTATTATTTCTGACAGCTGCCAGTGGGCGTATGTTACCTTGCAACGCAAGCTATCTTTCTGATTTTCAATAGGATCATCCTTAGGTGACAGCAAACACTCACACCAAGTTTCGTCAAAATGTCAACAATTGAACCTCCTAGAGCGTTTATGAGCTATAAATTGAATGCGTTTTCAGGATGTTCAACCCCTAACATCTATGAAAAATCGTCTGATTGTCTCCAAATGCAACTGGAATTAACGTTGCCTTGGTGTAAACCTATAAATGAAAAGAATACACCACAAATTTGCATTGTGAGCATGGCCAGTGTGACAATATAACAGAATTTAGGTGTATAAATGTTCCGTAATAACTCATTTTCATTTCATTGTAATTACTAATATTTTTAGTACTGCAAGAACTGCTTTAATCAAGCAAAGTGTTAGAGGGTTACTTGAAAAGAAGAAAGTGGAATATGGTGATTTTAAACTAGACCAATTTGAAGACCCATTTCTAGCATCTAATGTTAAATCCATTTCCTTAACAGACTCTGATATGTCTTGTTCAGAGCAAAAGGTATGTAGATCTGTGTTCCATTCTTTTTAAGATTTGCATGTCTTTATATGAACAAGTTCTAATTTGAAGCATCTTCGATGAACGGTTTTTGAGTTATTGCTCTTGACTTTGTTAAAACGAGTCAAAATTTGTTTGTGAGCACAATAGAGACTACAGTTTTGAACTGACTTTAATGAAATTTGATGTGATCATTTATATTGATGAGACCTTGGACAAGTTTGAATTTGATTTTTTGAGTTATTGCTCTTGACTTAAGAAAAACGTGTCAAAATTTGTTCGTGCACACAATAGAGACTACAGTTTTGAACTGATTTTAATGAAATTTGTTGTGATCATTTATATTCATGAGATCATGGTCAAGTTCGAATTTGACGATTTTTCGATGAATGGTTTAAGAGTTGACTTAGCAAAAACCTGTCAAAATTTATTGATATTGATTTTAAAAAAAATTGTGGAATAACTCATCATAAGTAACTGGCATATATATATATAATTGAATTCAAACTAATAAAATTTCTTCAATATGAGAAAATTCGTACTTTAGTCACTAAAGACCGTTTATTCATTTCTGACAGCTGGGCGTATGTTACCTTGCCTCGCAAGCTATCTTTTTGAACTACAAAGCTGAAACAACGAGCTTTGAACACAAACTGGCCAAATGGATGCGGTAATTGTGTGCAAAGTTCATTTTTATATGCCCACATGAAATGGGGGGCCGATATTGCCGTTACCCATGTCCATCTGTCCATCGGTCCATCCACAATTGCTCGTAAAACACTAGACACAATTCTTGACGGATTTTGACGAAACTTGGTGTGAGAGTTCGTAATCACCCAAGGATGATCCCTATTGAAAATCAGAAGAATTGAAAAATATTTAGTACGAGTTATTGCCCTTGTCCTTGAAAACGCATTCAATTTTTACTTCGTAAACACTCTTGAAGGCACAATTATTGACAGATTTTGACGAAACTTGGTGTGAGAGTTTTTAATCACCGAAGGATGAACCCTTTTGAAAATCAGAAGAATGGAAAAATGTTTAGTAGGAGTTACTGCCCCTGTTCTTGAGAACACGTTCAATTTTTAGCTTGTGACCATTCTAGAAGGCACAATTCTTGATGAATTTTGATGAAACTTTGTGTGAGTGTTCGTTATCACCCAAAGATGAACCATATCGAAAATCCGAAAAATCGAAAAATATTTAGTATCAGTTATTGCCCATGATCTTGAGAACGTGTTAAATTTTGAGCTCATGAACCTTTTAGAAGGCTCAATTCTTGACAGATTTTGAGGAAACTTGGTGAAATTTTTTATTATCACCCATGGATGAAATCAAAATATGTTTCATAGGAGTTATTAACCTAGTTCTTGAAAACGCTTTAAAATTTGAGCTCTTAAACAATAAAAAGCATGATTTTTGCTGGATTTTGACAAAACTTGGTTTTATTATTCAGTACCGTGCTGAAGGTTGAATATTTGCCTTTTGGAGTTTTCACGAGCTAAAAATTGAACCCCTTTTCAAGAACGAGGGTAATAACTCATACTCAATATTATTCAGTATCGCCCTAAAGAGTTCAAAAGAAGTGAATATTTCATACTGGTGATTGTAACTACTGCTAAAGCTGCCAGTGGGCGTATATTACCTTGCATGGCAAGCTATCTTTGAACAGATGTATTTTATGCGAATTATGCCCTCTCAAAAATGTAAACAATGAGTAATTTAACCCGGATGTGTCACGCCCATCTCAATTTTTTTTGCCATATTTGAAGGGCCTGGTTATATGAGGCGGGCCAGCCTGGTGAGCCGAACTGGCTGGAGTATCGGCACTTTTAGACCAGACAAAAAAAGTCAGGAGTTGCTCCAATCCATTTTAGAACCATTTCTTTAAAGAATTTTTACCAATACAAAAGCCATAAGCCATAACGTAGTATCTATACAAATCTAGACTTTACCAAATATTCTACGATGTCCTTGTGCCCCATACGATACCACAATACAATCAGTGTTCACACTCTCAGTATTTTCCTGATATTACGAAGGCAGTCATCCTTGTTATTTATGTTGATGATGTAACCTTCATAAAGCACATTATCATATAAACAGAATAATTGCCAGCCCAGGTTCATGTAAAGGGGCAATAGCAGATTATTTTTTTTAAACGCCCACATGAAATGGGGAGCATATATTGTCGTCCGTCTTCCTGTCAACAATTGCTCGTAAACACATTTGATTTCGATGAAACTTGGTATGGCTGATGGTAATCACCTAAGGATGAACCCTATTGAAAATCAGAAAAATCGAAAAATATTTAGTATGAGTTATTGCCTTTGTTCTGAAAACGCTCGTAAATAATCTAGAAGGTGTAATTCTTGAAGGATTTTGATGAAACTTGGTGTGAGTGTTTTTTATCACCCAAGGATGAACCCTATTTAAAATCAAAAGATCAAAAAATAATTAAAATGAGTTATTGCCCTTGTCCTTGAAAACACGTTAAGTTTTGACAGATTTAGATGAAACTTGGTAAGAGTGTCAGTAATCACCCAAGGATGAACTCTATTGAAAATCAGAATAATCGAAAAATAATTAATAGGAGTTATTGCCCTTGTTCTTGATAACACGTTCAATTTTTAGCTTGTAAACGCTCTCGAAGGTTCAATTATTGACAGATTTTGACGAAACTTTGTGTGAGTGTTGGTTGTCACCTAAGGATGAAAAATAATTGGTATGAGTTATTTCCCTTGTTCTTGAAAATGCTTTCAATTTGTAGCATGTAAACAATCTAGAAGGCACAATTTTTGATGGATTTTGACGAAACTTGGTGTGATTGTATGTAATCACCCAAAGATGAACTTAAATGAAAATCAGAAAAATCGAAAAATATTATTGCCCCTGTTCTTAAAGACGTGTTCAAGCCTTAGCCTGTAAACACTCTAGAAGGCCTAATTCTTGACAGATTTTGATGAAACTTGGTAATATTATTCAGTATCGCCTCAAAAAGTTCAAAAGAAGTGTATTACTGAAGGTTGAATATTTCATACTGGTAATTATTACTGTTCTGCCAAATATTTTTATTTAAAGTCAAAGCTACCAGTGGGTGTATATTACCTTGTCTTGCAAGCTATCATGTAATTAGCCACATGTGTTGAAATCCATTTTTGCGTACCTGTAACCATTTCTGAAAAATAAGCTCCAGGGATGAAGAAGAAATGTATGTCTGTATGTATGTACTGAATCAAAAATATTTGTAAATAGATAAGCTTATATGCCCTACTTTCTTCACAGATGTTAGGTGGAACTTGATAAGATTCATGCTGAATTTGACCTTGTTTGATTTTAGGCAATTGATTTATGTGAAGGAAATTTAAGTCTGCATGTGTATCAGTTACATGAAGATGGACCAGGTCAAGAAGAATTAGATGAAGAAGAAATGTCTGCTGCCAGTCATTGGTTGTTACCTTCGTCAGATTTTGATGGTTTATGGGATAATTTGGTTTTTGATGAAGATATTAAAGGCAGGGTATGCAATTTAAAAATTTTTGTTCTCATGATTGAATTGATGAAAAGGAACATACACAAGATTGTTTGGAATGGCATGTCCTCTGATAAACTTCCTCAAAATGTAATCCGTACTGATATGATAAAAGTTCTCTCCAGCAAAAGCCATTTGATATCAAATTAAATTTGGCAAACTCATTAGTAACTTTATCTTATCGAGATACAGTATAACATTAGATATTGCATTCTACATTCGTTTGATGGTTAATTTCAGTTATTAAATTATGCAACAACTACAATGTTATTTTCTGATAAGAAAGTTGATAGTAATGTCATATCATGGAACAGAGTTGTGTTGTTACATGGTATGTATGTTTATCTCATATATAATGTGACTCTTTTTGGCTATGAGACAATGATAAAATGTAACTAGAACTCTGAACAGCTCGAGCGTTGCACAAAATGTTATCCAAAGGCTTTTGAATCTTTTGGAACTTCTATCCTTTTTAGCCTTCAACCTCAGTGCTTTTTATACGCCCACATGGAAATGTGGACGTATATTGCCGTCGCCCCCCTCCGTCCCGTCACATTTGTTGTATGCACGATAAAGCCTACAGTTTTTATCTGATCTTGATGAAACTTGGTATGCATGTATATAATGATGAGATTTCAGTCAAGTTTGAAATTGGTAATTATCGGATGAAAGGCTTTAGAGTTATTGTCCTTGACTTGGTAAAAATGTGTTAAATTTGGCTTCTATGCACGATAAAGGGTTGATTCATCAGGTTTTTTTTATGCACTTTTTATACGCCCACCTCTCTCTATGTGGACGTATATTGTCAGCACCCCTGTCCGTCAGTCAATCCGTCCGTCAACATTTGCTTGTAAACGCTTTAAAAACTAGATTTTTTGATGGAATCAAATGAAATTCGGTATGTGTATACATATTCAGAAAACGAAAATCAAGTTCGAATTTGAGCTATTTCCACAATTAGAAGCAGACTTATTGCCCTTGCCCGAAAATCTTGAATATGCTACTACTCTGTTAGTTTTCAACCAATTTTGATGAAACTTAAAATGGATGTTATTGGACCTAAATCGAAAGGGTTGAGAAAGTTTACTTTACTTCTGATTAAATTTAAGGCTTTTTCAAGATTAAGGCCTCTTACGAGGAGTTATCGCCCTTTAACTTCTATACAGTAAGTGCTTCTATCAACATCAATTGCTCGTAAACACTCTAAATACTAGAGTGTTCGAAGTAATCAAATGAAATAAATTTAATGTACAAGCTTTCGTTTAGTTTCTTTTTAAGGCACACACCAACATGTACCGGAAATAAGTCATCTATACAGACGTCATTGGTCATTTGACTTGCGCTTGCTTAAAAATACTGACGGTTAGCGCGGTTTAAATTGTGTTTGGCGGTAGACTAAGAAGGCAAACTATAATTAATAGTGATTTTGTAATTCGTGATGTGAAACTCAAAATTGATTCTTTTTTAATTTTTTTTTTAAAATAAGCTTTAAGCCTTGTAAATTATTTAAATTGATCATAGGCCTACATGACACAGTTAAAATTACCAATCTATAATGAGGGATAATTCTAGAAATAGTGCCTAATATTTCAAATTTAGGGGCCCAAAAAACATTTGATATTGTCATTCTTCAGTATTGATTGAATCAAAAATGATGTCAAGGTGAAATGAAAGAAAGCAAGCATGATCCCAGCCTTCTAAATCAAATGGTACCGGTAGGCCTATATCATACATGTAATACCATATTAAAAATCAGTATGTTCTGAAAGCAATATTTAGTAAATAATATGTACTGGCAATGTTACTTTTTCCAAAGGTGTAATTCATGACATCTAAAATATCTCCATTCCAATCATTAAATAATTTTCCTGCAACACTCTCACGAAGTATTGAACTGAATTAACCGCTTCCATTTTGACGTTCTTCAGAATGGAAAGACTACTAATAAGTAAGCCCGTTATGCAGGCAATAAAATGAATGTTTACAGGCTATAGTAAATTTACAAAACTATTTTATGAAACGAAGTTTATGAATAATTATTTTACAAATATAACCGATGATATAACCAATTTATAAACCCCTTTCTCGTGAAAATATTACTTGTATTGAAAACCATGTTTCAAACAAAGTTCCACAAAATCGGTATTTTAAAATTGATTACATTAAATGTAACGACGTTCTTAATTTACTTTTGTCACCTGATTGTAAGAAATCAACTGGTTCTGATTTTATTGGTCCTAAGGTATTACGTTTATCAGCTACTTATATTACTACTAAGTTATATTATTAATATATGTATAGCCAAAAATACTTTTCCTGATATCCTTAAACATGCTAAGATCAGATCAATTTTTAAAAGAGGAGAGAGAAACCTTGTAAATAATTATAGATCTATTTCGATATTATCTGCCGTATCTAAAATATTTGAAAAACATATTACTTTGACATACATGTGCACAGGTCAGGAAAAAAAATCTGGAGATTTGCCTTGAAAAATCTGGAGATTGGGTAAAAAGTCGGGAGATTTTTCCAAAGCGCGTGAATTCGTGATTTGAAACTCCAAATTGATTGTTTTTTTCTTTTTTTTTTTTCAAATAAGCTTTAAGCCTTGTAAATTAATTAAATTGATCATAGGCCTACATGACACAGTTAAAATTAACAATCTATAATTATGGATAATTCTAGAAATAGTGCCTGATATTTCAAATTTAGGGGCCCAAAAAAAATTTGATATTAGCATTCTTCAGTAGGCCCTATTGATTGAATCAAAAATAATGTCAAGGTTAAATGATGTTTGAAAACAAGAGAGCAAGCATGATCCCAGCCCTCTAAATTAAATGGTACCGGTAGGCCTACATGTAATATCATATTAAAAATCAGTATGTCCTGAAAGCAATATTTAGTAAATAATATGTACTGGCAATGTTACTTTTTCCAAAGGTGTAATTCATGCCATCTTAAATATCTCCAGTCCGATCATTAAATACTTTTCCTGCAACACTCTCACGAAGTATTGAATTGAATTTTCCGCTTCCATTTTGACGTTCTTCAGAATGGAAAGACTTGTAATAAGTAAGCCCGTTATGCAGGCAATCAAATGAATGTTTACAGGCTACAGTAAAATTACAAAACGATTTTATGAAACGAAGTTTGAGTTTACATAAGAATTAGACATCCAGTCGTGTATGATAATCTACAGATAATGAAAAATAATTCTGAAACGACGTCTATGTTATATAGGCCTATTATAGACCTCGCATATTGACACGGTATAAAATACTGAGAAGACTTCAAGATTTCGTTTTTTAGTAAAAGTAGGGCTATCATAAAATTTATTATGAAAGCGAAAGTAGAATCTACCGGATGTTGTTATAAAAAGTGTCATGTGGGCTTAAAATACACATTATCAGGTGAAAATAGATCAAATTACCATCTTAATTGGGAGATTAATTCATCAGGCAATGATAATATTATTACGTGATGAGATTAACGCGTGTTACTGGCAGTTAAGATACAAGTGATGATAGATATTCTGTTGATTTGTGGTAGAGAATTTGAACATTGAAAACGGTAGGTCCAGTGAAAATTTGATCAGGAAAAAAACCAAAAATCTGTAGAATCAGGTATCCCGCCGGTAGAGCGGTAGAAACCCGACAACATCGGTAGATTACACATGTATGCTTTGAACATTACAAATTTCTTTAATACATTTGAACTTTTCTATAAATTTCAATCTGGCTTCCGGAAACATCATTCTTGCAATACTGCACTAATAAAAATGTGTGACTCTTGGCTTAATGCAATTGATAATGGGGAAATGATAGGAGTTGTCTACTTAGATTTTGGTAAAACTTTTGATACGTTAGACCACAAATTACTGGTAGAAAAATTGAAATTATACAAATTCCATTACAGCTCTTATACATTGATTAAATCTTATTTAAATTCAAGGAAGTAAAGAGTATCTCTAGGTGCCTGTCAATCCGACCTCAATTCTGTAGAATGTGGGGTGCCACAGGGGTCAAATCTTGGTCCTCTCCTCTTTCTCATTTTTATCAATGACCTATCATTTCATGTTAGAAATTGTGCTACAGACCTCTTTGCTGATGACAGTACAGTACACTTTTCTCACCATAACTTAAATTGAATTAATGCCACCCTTCAAGATGATCTGTTTAACATTAAAACCTAGTGTGAGGATAATGGGATGGTTATAAATGCTACAAAAACCAAGGCTATGTTAATTGGTTCCAATCTGCAAACAACAAATAACCAATTAGCATTAACTGTTAATAATGTACCTATAGAGAATGTTACTTATACTGTATTATTAGGCCTTACTATTGACCACTATCTTGAATGGGATTTCCAAATTAAAAAAACTGTCAAAAATTATAAGCTCCAAAATTTTCCTTCTCAGACAAATTAAAAAATGCATTCCATTAAGCTTACGTAAATTATTTTATAATAGTTATATTTTGCCATTTTTTGATGATTGTTCTACAGTTTGGGTTAATTCCAATAAAAGTAAATTAGAGATTTTATACAAATTACAAAAATGCGCTGCATGGCGTATATTAGATGAAAACATGATTGACCTTCGGCACCATTCAAAATTTTAAATTGGTTGACACTGTATCAACGTATTAGATATAATCTGGGCATAATGACATTCAAACTATTTCAAACTGGACACACTGAATATTTATACAATAAATTTAGGGAAAGATCAAAATTAACAGAAACCAGTATGACACTGAGATCAGAAACACTCCGAACTTTAGACATACAAAAATTTAATAAAACTGCTATGATGAGAACATTTCAATATACAGCTTCTTTACTTTGGAATTCATTACCACAAACTGTAAAACATAATCCTTCTTTATATACATTTAAACAAGAACTGAAGAAGTTTGTTCTTACTGACAATACTGATTAATTGATTCCATAGCATTTATAACCAGTCCTTTTGTTTTTCTCACCATTTCATTTTACTTAAATAACTTATACTATCGTATAAGAAACACAGTTTATACATTTTTATAAATATGTGGTCGTATATTGTTGTTGCCCCTGTCTTGATGCATTTTTGATGAACGGTTTTTGAGTTATTGCCCTTGACTTTGTAAAAATGCGTCAAAATTTGTTTGTGAGCACAATAGAAGCTACAGTTTTCAACCGATTCTGATGAAACTTGGTGTGATCATTGAAATTGATAAGATCTCGGACAAGTTTTAACTTGACACATTTTCGATGAAATGTTTTTGAGTTATTGCCATTATTTTACGAAATACGCGTCAAAATTTGTTTGTGAGCACAATAGAAGCTACAGTTTTCAACCGATTTTGAAGAAACTTGGTGTGATCATTGGAATTGATAAGATCTCGGACAAGTTC